TTGCAAGCACTCCACCCCATGTTTTTCCTCCGAGGCCACATTCAAAGTCTGTGAAGTAGTTGCCGCTCCACTGTGGTCAGTTCCAAGATTAGATCAGTAGTGTTTGAAGTTCTGAATCACATCAGATGCCCAGATAACAGGGATGCTTCCCGGAGCAATGTCCCACAGCTTCCCCAGCATGCAATTGCTGCTGCTGTAGGACAAACGCATGTGATCTGATTGAACACTGTGTTTCAGAACTTAAAATATGATGTAGGAACCAACCAACGAAATCATTTGACTGCTACCCACAACATCATCCTTTCTTTATCCGGGCAGCTGATATGATACAGAAGAACCTAAGACGAAGCCTTCTGGAGCAGACTGATGGTCTATCTAATCCAGAATCCTGTTTCCCTGGAAGGCCCCCAAAAGGGGCACAGAGACTAAGGAAAGCTTTTGCCTCTCTCCCCTACAGGCAAGCAGCTGGCACAGTGTTGCCTAGCAGGTTAGCCCCAGTGAACAAAACAGCTCAAACAAATACAAGGCCCTTGCAAAGCCGTGAGGTGATGCAACAATTGCCAGAATTTGGAAATGTTCTGCACAAAAATGCCAGTTAAGGCAATCCTATTTGACCAGAAGATCAGAAAAATTGTTGTAATTGGACAATACCCTTGTCAGGCACACGTCCCCCATTCTGCCAGGGATAACGAACCCAGACAGTAAGACACAAGGATAATGGTCATATGAGAATGTTTTTGACTGCTTCTGAATGTTGGAAATAATTCTCTTTGAATTTGAATTATTATTTTGACAAGCAGGCATGGTTGAGGTTGGATGTTGATTTTGAATTGTACATCCCTAATTGGATCACAGTTCTCTATACGGAGGTTTAATATTTCAGGCTAAGTTGACACTCATAAGTATTTGTTTTGTCAAACTATTAAATTCTTGATAAAAGTTAAACCAGTATTTGACTGCCTGTGAGACTTCTCTTGCTTTTCCAGTGTGAGTCTATATATCTGAGTGATAGGTCACAGTGTTAGCAAGTGTACTGGCAACCACTTTGATACATTACGAAGTCATGATTCAGCAAATTGCCACAGTCAAAACGGCTACTTAAATTACTCCTCCTAAGAAACTACTCAGGGGCCCCGTTCACACGGAGCGTTTGCCGTGCTAAAGATACGGATGAGAGGCGGATTTTCTGGGCGCAATCACACCGCAACATCTGGGAAGTGTAGTGCACCTGTGGCTAACCCGTGGCTTCATGCTGAAGATGCAGAGTAAAAAACTAGTACTTATGATGTACTAGTTTCCAGAAAACGCGGGGCAAGGGCGGGCGTCTGATCGCGTCCCATCCTAGACCCGTCGCAAACCGGTTAGGGTTTTTTTTAAAGTCTGCACAGGATGCACACAAACGATCATGCGCATGCTCACCTTTTGGTGAGAAAAAATATTCCCGTTTACCACGGAAGCGGTGCCTAGTGATTGCTGGTGTGATCGCGCCGCGCCGCTTCTTTGCCACGCTGCAGGATAGCCGTGTGATCGGCACCTCACGCCCTAACCACGGGACCTCGACGGGACGTGTGATCGGGCAGCCACGTGTTATTTTGCTCCGGGGCAAACAGCCACACACACCCCGCCCGCATTTACCGGCCCGTGTGACCAGGGCCAGGGTTGAGTAATTTTACTAGATAAAACAATCCAACTGTACCTATTAATTAGGTACATTACCTATTTTCTCAGTATGTATACTGGCAGTTTATATATACACATATTTCTAAATGATCGATAGATAATAATGATGATGGTGGTGGTGATGAAGAAGAAGATAGATAGACAGACAGACAGACAGACAGACAGACGATAGATAGCGGGCTTAAAAAAAGAGGTGCCAGAACTCTCAAGAGGGAAATAGGGTTTTCAATCTATGTACTAAAAACTCAGACTTTTAAATATTTTAAAAGTAATTTTGTCAAAGAGGTTCTAGAACTCCATCCTGGCATGTTCTTCCAGAAAAACAGCCCTGCATAGATGGATGGATGGATAGATAAATAGACAGATAGTTTGAATTTTCCTGGACCGTGGACCATTAAGTGTTACAGCGTTTAATCAGTTTTGAAATCTTTAACAGTTTTATGTGTGCTTTAAAGAAAATGTATGCTTTGAAGTTAATATTTTTTTTAACAAAATTGTTAAATTATACTAAAACTAAAAGAAAATGCATGATAATGATAACAAAACATTACTATTGCCATTTGACTTTATATTCTGACCACCTTCCTGTTCTTGTGCCTGGCTGTTAGAGTTTATGAAAACAGGGGGGGGGGGGGGGCTCA